AAGGTCTCACTGCAAAAAGACTCTTGCCAGCCGCCACACATCCTTGAAAAGACAGAAAAGGCAAGACAAAATGATAGATAAAGCATCTAAAGGATCAATAGTTTCAACCTTTTCACCCTCCAAGCATTTTAACAACCTCAAATGAGCTAGTCAAATTAACAAATATCATTTTAACTTTTTTCTTTTCTCTACAGCCAAGATGCAAAAGAAGAGGTCAAAGGGTAAGTGGTCAGCAGCTGAGAAGACACAGCCTGTATGGGACACACTAAAAATTGCTCTGTTCATGGGAAATGCAAATGTAACCAGGAATGCTATATTTCTGTTTGCTTAAATCTTAGCAAAGTTTGGTGCCTACAACTCAGCCAATAATAAAAGCTACAGAATGAGAACATGTTACTAGAGAAATATACCTAGTGATTTCAATGAAGAAATGTACCTAGTGATTTCAAGGCCTACTAAGCCTCCCTTCCATGCAAACTCTGAGCCAGGCACAACCTTCTCTCTGGGACATTATAAATCATAGGATTTCAGAACATCAAACAAGTTCTAAACAATCTGATTAAATAAGGTCTCTAGGAGATTTTCCCCAGAAACACTCAACCGGAAAGACTGATCTACACAGAAGAGACCCTTAATCTCTGAATAAGCACCCACTCCAGGCAGTTGCCTGCCGGTGATTTTATGATATCTTCACCTCCTCCTCCCACTGGCCCACAATGAGGAAGCTGTAAAACCCTGGCCAGACACAGCCATTTGCTAAGAGAAAAGCCAACATGGGGCCCATCTGTCCTTTTCAAGGACTCTACTTGCTGTCTTTGTGTGGCTGCCAGCATCTACACAGAGCGGCTCACCTCGAGAACACAGTACCTGGCCACTGGCTGAGGCCTTGGTTGAGTTTTCAGTGTCATCCTAGAGAACTGGTTTGAAGCATCAAAGGGAAGTCAGGCAGGGACCAACGCTCTCCCTTTCTTCAGCCTCCACATTGTACTGCCTGCCATTGCCAGGCAACAGCCCTTGGGTCAGCAGCTATCCAGAGCAGGGCCTAGCAAAAGACCTTCCGAGTAGTGGGCCCTCCATCAGCACCAAGAAAGGGAACCTCTCTCCTGACAGGAACCCCAAGTCAGCTCAAGGGAAACAAACAGGCCTACAATCATGATCCAGTATTGGACCCACTACCCACGCTCTTGATCTCATGATAAGCGAGGGAAAATACCATGCTTTTAAGCCACAAAGAGATTTCCATCAAACTCAAACTCCCTTTAGCAGCTCTAATTTTAGGCAGAACTTAGGACAGAGGATACTAGTAGCCAAGGGAAGCAGGGCACAGCAGGGAGGAACTGAACAAGGCCCCCATTCTGCTCTGCACAGGTGCCAGTAACAGGACACCCCTGTCTACAGTGACACGTGGCAAGAAGCAGTCAGGTGTGGTTGGCTGTTTTCCACCCAGTCACATTATATAAGCCTGAACCCTCTGCTCACCCAGGGCAAAGTGCTCCTGCGGCAGCTGACAGCTCCTGACTCTGAGGCTTGAGCAACAATGGTAAGGAAAGTATTTGATTTTAGCATCCAACTTTTTTTTAAAGTTAATTATTAAAAGAAGACAGACAGCCCCAGGGTGAGGTGCCCTCAAGTTTGGCCACCAAAGCCCCCTGGTCTTAAAAACCCCCTAACCACCACCAGATGCTGGTTCAACTACTTAAAAGCAACAACACAAATCTGTTTACAGTATTTAGACTGTCCTTCCTAGGACTTGGATAAAAACAAAAAAGAAAAAAAAGAAAGAAAGAAAAGAAAATTCCAGGACCTCGTTAATGTGGTCCCCAGTCACTGCCAGACCTCTGCTAACCCAGGCAAAGCAATGAACTTTCCCTCCAGCCACATGAATAGCTTTGGTCTCCCCCTTCCTCTGGGACCAACGCGCACCAGACGATTTGATGGGTGATTTACACCGATCGGGGCAAGGGCAACCAGTAAGTGATTTTGCACACCACCACTTATTAGTGACACCACCGCAGCAGGGTGGGAGCAAGGGGAAAACATCAGGTTTCCTCTCCTTGAGGAATCAATAAGTTACTTAACAGCTGCTGCTTATTTTGCATGGTGCTCTATTCCAAGGGAGAAAAGTGAGGATTTCCTCCATGCCCTTCTCCTGAAAAGGGTAAATTACACATACCGTAACAGCTGAGGACTGGGTGAAGACTCTTTAAAAGGCACCAAGACTCCTCTCTATTTAGTTTTAGAAGATGGATGGTATCAGGCCTGGAAATCACTCTATTTTCTGTTTTCTTTTTTTTTTCCTCCAAAGAGGAAACTGATTCCCTTCCTGTGCTGCCCTACATTTTAATGAAACAAATGTTACTTAGAAAAGCATTTTCTTTACCCTTTCCTCAACCCCATTCAACATGACTTTTAAGAAAATAACCTAAAAATGGTATCAAGATGGCATTCCAAATCAGTTCTAACATTTAACACTTCTCCCTCAAAGCAAACTGAAAGGGGACCAAAGTCATGATAAATGTGTCACGGGAGTTTAAAGAAGCTAAAAAGAGCAGCAAGGCAATACAAAGTCAGCTCCCTCCAGGTATGAAAAACTTGACTTTCCTGGCAACTGTGTGCATCTGTATACTCTATACTGCTTACCCATCTGATCAAATTTTAATTTTGTTAACTTCCATTTTAAAATATCACTGCATCTACTTTATGAAAAAGTCTGAAGAAGAAACTGTAAAAAATATTCAGCAATTCTCTCATCATAAATAATCCTGGAACTCAGATACCCCATTTTTCCTTATCCCTCTACTTCCCAAAAGCCTAAAATCCTGCAGAAACCAACACATACTTTAGTCTTCTGCCCTATTTTGCTTTTAAAATCTTTTACTGCCAAAACAAAACAATATAAACCAAAAGCCTATCAAACAAATGCTTTCCCACAGGGTGTTGACTAAACCTATGGAGCCCAAAGGAAAAAAATTCAGGATCCACAAACTCAAGAGTCAGTACTGAAGGGACTCTGAGATTTTATTTTTAACTGGAACCTTGAAAAAAAAAAAACCTTAGCACTCGCAGGTTCCTGGACAGTGCACACCGGCAGGCAACTAGGATATGGCAGGTACACATGACAGTCCACCCCTGTGGGAAGGATTATCTTCTTCCCAAGGGGTGTGGATTGGCTGTGGATTCAAACCAGGGGATAGGAAGAGCTGAGTCTGTATTCTAGGTTAAAGAACAAAGAAAGAGAAAACTCCAGGTGTGATCACTCTAGAGCTGCAGTGAGCTCAGTCAGGGCCCTGGGTTCCTCATTACTGCTCAGGGACTGGAAACATCTATTTACCTCCTCTCCTCCAAAAAACACAAACAGCTTTACCAACCCATCTCAAATTCCTCTCCCGGAGATCAGAATCTACCATGTGTGCCTCAAACCAAATCTTGTTTGACTATAAGGCGTGGAGAATTTAAATTAACAATAAATGTGGGAGCCCAGAGAAGGGGCACCAATCTTTGTTCAAAAGAGCACTTCGTTAATTCAACGTGGACCGGGGCAAAGGAATGAAAGGGACTGTCTTTGAAGAGGACCTAATCCATCTAATTCCGAATGACTGGATTAGAGGCATTCCTGGGCATGCGGGGTCTGGCTGCAGATGAGGCCACACAAATGTCCATTTCTGACAAAAGACACAAGATATGAAGGATTTTTAAATGGACAAAACCAAGAAGAGGCACCTTGACAAAGTTCACCATGGGTGAGGTGGCAGATGGTTCCAAAAAGGGAAAGCAGGCAGCGATAGCTGAGCATTCCTTACCAAAGTCCATCTCCGAGGCATGAAGCCTCTCCAAACCTTGCACTTCATCAGACAAAAGCTCCTCCAGGCGCCAGGCAGCGGCTTAAGAGGGGCTGTCCACACCCACTTGCCCGTACAGCTTTCCAAACCTGCCCACTCTTTTGGAAGCCGAGCTTTTAATTAAACACCCCCTCCCCGGATCTGTCGAGGCAAATGAGAGCTGGACTGGAGCCAAAGAGAAGCTCCCTAAATACACACGAAAAAAAAAATCCCCCGACTCACCGCCCCCAATTGCTACCACCAGCTAGCTATTCAGGCTGGCTGTATTTCCTATGGATGAGTAACACAGGGCCCCGGTCTATCTCTGCCCCAGAAAATCCACATAGGAGGATCAGGTTATCTCCAGTCCCACCCTTTGCAGGAAAAAGCCAGGGTGTTGTTCCCCACCCCCAACACACACGCGCGCACGTACACGCACGCACACACACAACCTCCAAGATCCTTCCGACAGAAATGGTGGAGTGGGTGGGTGGGTGTGTGTGTGTGTCTGTGTGTGTTTTGAAAGGGTGAGACACAGTTGTTTGGGGGCCCCAGATCTTGCTTTCAGGTTGGAAACCTTAGTTTAGGAGCCCCTACGGGGCTTCTCTGGGAACTTCTGTCCCGTGACCCCGACACAAGGATTAAGGGAAGGCATGGACACTCTGACCAGCTTTGCAACAGCACAATTAATACCTAACTTGTCCCCCACCCCGCTTCCAGGTAGACCTGAAAGCCGAGGAGGGAGACCTCCCGCCTATGTACCAGGCAGAGGGCTCCTTCCGAGGCCAGGCCGAGCCTCACTCCCTCCGCTCCACCGCGCCAGGAGTCCCCACCCCGAGCCCCAGGGAAGCAGGTGCCCGCCCGGGTGTCCAGGCTCCACGGGGCGCGAACACTCAGTCCGGGGACAGACAATGGAAAACTTAGGGCCAAGGAGGGCCCCGAGCCGCCAGAGGAAAGAGCCGAGGCCGCCCCCTGGGATGAGCCGGGACGCGGTACAGGCAGCACGCACCCCCGGGGTCGCCCGCCTGGTGACCGCCCGCAACAGCGCCCGGCCGGGGAGCAGGTGACGCCGGCGGCCGCGAGCTCCCGCAGGTGGCAGGCAGGCGGTCACGCCGCTGGCGCGGGCAGGGCGGCTACTGGCGCAGGCCTGCGGAGTCAGGGCGCGGGGCCCCGGCGTCCTACCTTCATGTCGCTGATGATAGTCTGGAAGAGGCCGCCGAGCGCGCCGCACTCCTTCTCAATCACAGCCTCCATCTTCCCGGCGCCGCAGGAGAGGACGCACTCGCGGGCCGCCGGACTGCGCGCGGGCCGGGCTCGCCACCCGGCGGGAGCCTCGCCCTCGGCCGGCCTGCAGCTGGTCTGCAGAGCGCGGGCGCGCGGGCCGCTGTCCTCCGCCCCCGACGACAACCACGACGCCGCGAGCCAGGCCGCTCAGGGGCAGCCTCGCCTACGTGCACGGCTCGGCCCCTGGCCTCGAAATCGCTCGGAGAAAACTGACAATCAGGCCACCACCGGTGCCCACGACGGAATCGGCAAAGCCCATCTCGATGCAGAGAAAGCCGCCCGCCCACCCCGGGCCAGCGCCATTTAAAAAATAGATTTTTAGATTTAATTTTTTTTAAGGAATTGAGAAAAGAAACGACCCCGCCGCAGAGAGCGCCTGCTCGCAGCGCCGGGATCTGTCGCTCGCGGCCTCGGCCGCCGCCTCCTTTTCACTCCTGCGCGCCGGGCCCGCGCTCGCTCTGGCCCGGCTCCCGGCGACGTAGGAGGGGCGCACGCGCGCTCGC